TCCTGCCCCGACACTGCCTGTCCCACCCCAGCTCAAGGCAGCTCCGGCTCAAGGTCGCGGGGCTTTTGGGGGCTGCTCCACATCGCAGGGGGGCTGCCAGGTAGGATGTTTGTCTGAGCAAAAATGTCAGCACACGGCTTAGTAACTGAGCTCTGAAGATCTCTGATCCCCCAAGGTCTCTGTTGGAAGAGCATCACGAACAGGATCCACCATTTCTAAATTTTGCCTGTTGCAACCTGCTTTCTTACGTCTACAGATCGCTCCAGCAGAAATCTTGAAGCTTAAGCTGCACATGCACAAAAATCACCTGTATCAGGTTTCCCAGGTTTCTTACCTTCTTTGATTCTGACTCAGCTGTCAGGTAACAAAATGCTTTTTTGCTGCATTTCCCTCGAAGAAGCGTTTATTGTTATCGGTGGTTTCACACAGCCTTGTCTTTATACAGACCAAGTTGGTACGCTGACAATGGGTAGACTTGCATAGGATTACTCTCTGTATGCTTGACTCGCTTTACACAATAAAACGTTTCACAATAATAAATGTTATGCAAACTTTGTAGCAAAAAGAATTTAGTGCCATGATGGCTTATGCCATTCTTCTATAGGAAAATATTCAACATACAAATATACCTAAAGCAAACCACAATGGCCTTGAAGCAAATCCTGAATTCAAGATACTCACCAGATTCAGGGTTGGGATGACGTACTACTTGCACACATTTTCCCTCAGCCAGAGGATTGATATCAGCAGCGAACAGACCTGAAGAAGCCGCCTCTCAGCTCTGAGACTTGAATCCCTTCTGCATTGCAAGATGAGACCTTCTTGCTTGCCATAGCCTCCCTTAAATCCAGATCCTTTCCTTGGGAGAGACTTGCAGTATCACCCACCAGGTTCCTGGGGGACAAGTACAGTGTCTGCCCTGAATTTGTACTCATGGGAAGAGGATCACCATGGATAATCCCTTGTGCGACTGAGAGCTGTAGATCTGTACTATCAGACGGTAACTGATGCCAAGTGCAAAAAAGGTTTTAAAGCAGTGTGGCTCTGGCAGCAGTGATGTTGAGCTTCCATGAGTCAGAGTGCATTGTCTGGGGCTTTTGATAAACATGTCATTATGTGAGACGTGACACTGTGTTATGTCACATGTGAACATCAATTTACATTTGAAAACGGAAAAGATCATATGGCGCATAGCAGTGAATAATCAGTGCTGGAGTCTGGATAGTATTTGCACTCCCACCGTCTCACCAGCTCCATAACAGAAGTACATGGGACTGAGCACCTCGAAAACATCACGCTGAGACCAAGAATGGTGCCAGTGTGGGGAAAAGGAAGAAGAGATTAGACTAATAGGTGTCTCTGACCACTCTTAAAGACACAGCCACAGAATGCGCACATCTTTATACACCGATATGTTGAAGGAAGGTCACTAGGGTCCAGCAGCAGCCACGGAGCACAGGTTGCTGGGACAGAAGAGGAAGCAGAGATGTGAACAGTGCCTCCTCACCAGGAGTTGCTGAACTTAAGTAGACGTCTAAATCCCCTAATCCCTACAGCAAATTCATCTGCAGGGCAGCACCACCCAGCATTACCATAAAGCAAAGGACAAAGCTTTTTTCACCTATGTTGGTGTTCTATGACCGGAAAGAAACGGAGAAGATGGGAGGGAGGAGCTGCTATATGATACCAGGTCACTCGGTGACCTCTTTACTGGGTGCAAAGCGTGCACCCAGCAGCTGTTGACAAGCTGTTGTTCACAACCGGCAAGCAGAATACTTTGAGGTTTCAATTCCAAGTTTTGGCTCAACAGAGATTTCAAATAAACGGTGATTCATGTTGAGTTCTGACCAAGAAGCAGTGGCAGGTTTTGTTTCAGGGTTGGCTCTTTGACTGGAGTCCTTGCTCAGCCTCCGTGATGCACTGTTCTGCCATGTGCCACACGATGTGCGCCAATGGCATAAAGGCAATAAAACCAAAGTAACACAACTAGGAAAAGAAATGTGTAAGTGGGGTAAAAGAGCAGACTCGCATAGGTCAGCAGAAGTAAGTTGCATATCAGAGACAAAATGCTATTGAGCTTTTTTGTATGGAGCTGCCACAAATCACATCTTTCACTGTTTTATTCATTGGTCTCATGATAATCTGCAATTATAAAATATGCAATCCTATTAAGATAAGAATGTATCCTCTGGCCCACAATACAGATTTTCTGAGGGCTAGAAAAATAAAAATACAGAAAACAGAGAGAGAAACACAACTGCTATTTCACAGTAATAAAAGATTAGTAATCTCACAATGTAGAAACAGATAGTTCTCAACAAATGGTAGCAATAAAATAATATTGCTGCATTATTACTAAACAAAGCACATTGATGAGAAGTTTATGCAACTGGAAATAAGAAACATAATTGGGATTGTTGTAGTAGAGGATGCTGTATCTCATTTGGACATAAGATTAATAGTGTGCAGCTTCAGTTATGGCAATATCATGGGAAGGCTGGGGGTTGTGGATCTTGTTTCAGATGATCCCTTTCATACCACCGTCCAAAAAGCGTCACAGTGACAACTGGTTTTGTTGGTCTTGTCGTACTTATCAAGCGCCCATCATTCAATACCTGATGGAAAAAGGTAAGAGAAGGAGATGATTAGAGGCGTACCCATATGAACATGCTAAGACCTCAGAAAAATGTGACAGAACAGGAAGAAGGTACGTCAGACGATATCCCTTACTGAAACTAGTAACTTCATTAAGTCACTTACCTTCATTAAGAGGCATTTAATAATCTGATTATTCACTATGAGCAAGTTCCCTTTGGCTGTTTTGAGAGAGTTTATTCCGTTACTATCCCACAGAGAACCTAGCACGACACAGCTCCAGATGTCCCATTACCTCGAACTCCCCGGAGGCCAGCTGCACCCCACTGTACAAGACTTCTGGAAAGACGTAGTTAGTGCCAAACGTGCCGCTGAGGGAGAACATCTCAAACTTGGTCTGTGCCGTCTCCACCGGCTGCCCACACGTGTTCGGGTCTGTGCTCTTGCACTTGAGCAGCGTGCATATCTGCGGGGATGAGAAGACAACAACATGCTTAGCAAGACAGAAGCACTCTGGTAGGAAAGACTTGTGTCATCAAAGCTAGTGTGTGTCAGAGCAGGTGACTGTCACAGGATTTCTTTCATAATCTTTTAGCAACTCCTTTTTCAGTTGTAGTTTATTTTTTCACCCCTTGATCTGATTGGGGGTATTTCAGACCTGCATTGCCTTAGTAGTTAGAAATAAGCTGTTTCTGACATAAGTACTGCCAAAGCACCTTATTTCATCCCTGAAGCCCAATCCTGTCACTTCCACTAATTCTTCCAATTGCCAGGTCTCTTGTTTGAAGGTTCCTTTCCCACACGTCTTAGTAAGATGAGCTTGTGAGTGGAAATGTTAGGCAAATGAAACAAAGTCATCCTCATGGGTACGTTGTGTAACTGTACACGGAGGTCCTGGTATTTGTACATGATGCTAATGACAATTGATTAGATAGCCTGGTAGTCCATGGGAAATTTGAATTTGATGTTCTCTATCCAACTCCTGGTGAATATATGCCAAGGTGATGAAGTTAGCATCCTCTGTTACAGTTTTGTGTCAGTAGTTGCAGCATCAGGAATGGCAATGTTTTCCTTATGTCCTTAGAATTAATTATCCAGCTGATAAAAGCTCATGGACATCATGAAGAAATATGAAGTAGAGTTAGCGCTCCTGTGAAGATTCAAAGAATGTTGGCTGGTTTTGCTGGCAGATGATGGAGTCTTTATATTTGTGTTAGATATTGGGGGACAGAAGAAGTGTATTTGCAAACTCAGAAGTTTTATGCATCAGCAGACATGGTTTTGTGCTGAAATGCAAATAAGCAGAGAAATAAAGAATAAAACTCTCTCGGTATGTTCTGAGGAAATGAAAAAAATACTGAGGGAAAAAGGAAGAGTAGAAATTCCTGTCTTCTCTAGAAAAATTCAGTACTGGTAGAGACTATCTGTCAGCTTCCACAATCACTGATACAAATTTTGCAAGTGAGCCACCAAGAACTGAATTTATTCAAGCTGCCTTCTTAAATGTATTAGATGAGCTGTTTGCTGGTTAAACCCTCCCCTCATATCCTGGAGTCTGTACCAGCTGATACTCAAGGGCCATGTTGACAGACAGAAGTAACTAACTAAAAAAAAGTTAATCTGCTGGCACAATGACTTAATTACGAAGGCAAAGAAGGTTTTCTAATATGGCTTTAAGCAAATTCAACTGGAGCATAACTCACTGTCTTCCCAAACATTTGATTAAAAAAGAGGAAGAGTGGACATTTCCAGTAAAAGTCATATGCCAATTCAGTAAACTTCATTGCTATGACTTGGGTAATGACAAAAAATTAACATCTCTGTGACTCTAAATTATCAGAGCGTCTCATAAAGATAGATGTGATCAACTGAGTTTTTAACAGCAACTCTTTGATGAAGATTACCGAGAAGATTCAGAACACTTACTGCAGATAGTCACAAAAGAGGACCTAAATGTAGCCAATATTGCACGCTTAAAAAAATAGTGAGTGCACTCTGGGAACTTAACAGAGGTTTAGAGACCTCTCCACTGCATTTGTTGGATTTAAAGGTAAGCAGGCTTGCATGTTTTAGCAACTACTTCTCATTGCTAACAAACAGGACACCAGGACTCCAGCATACAAGAAAGTCATTGTCTTTTTCCCCCACAGAGCTGAAGGTTTCTCCCTGTAAAGAAGCTTCCTAAAATAAGCGCCCTCCCCTCCAAAGAATCATTACCTGCAGATAGTATTGTCCTTCAACAACATGAAGCCCATCAAAAGCACCCAGCACATAAACTTCATCTTCTTGTTTCCCTGCCATCTTGTAGCTCAAATGACAGCAGAGGTCTTTCTGGCAAACAGTGAGATTCCCCTCAGGGTTAGTGAGCTCAGTGAAAGTGAATTGATCATGGAAGATGAGTCCTTCGAAATCATGGTCATTTGGTGAGAACCTTTTGACGCTCAAAGCATATGAGCTCCACTTGACAGCAGGTGGGGAGGGAGGAGAAAGGCGAGGGTGTGAATCTAGTTCAGCAATGAGGAGGTGACCATCCTGAGTCTCCATATTGTAGTAGTATGTTCTGGCTCCGTCTGGTGCGTAAATACCACTCCCTGACGAGGAAAAAAAAAAACCAACGTATTGTCCTTTTAGTTGTCCCTACTGCTAGCTTATCTGCTATTTTATAAATGCCACAGAAATTTTAGTCTCACCAAAGGTGACCGTTTGCAAGTCAGTACATAGAGCTCATGCTTTGGCAAAGAATAGCATTAATTGCCCTGAGTGAGGTCTACTCAGTGTAGCCAAAGGCAGAGGATGTTATGATATTGTTGTGTTTATGGCCTCCTCAGTTCTCTTGTCTACTGTACACAACAGAGGAGTTGCTTGAGAATTCCTTTATTCTCAGATAATTGATGTGAAAGGACAATTTACTGATTGAGACCATCCAAAGCACAACATAAGCAAGTACGAGAGCCCATCCTGGTGAACACAGAAGGAGACAGCAGCTGTCCAGCCCCATTTACTCTGGCTGAGGACTCCTCCTCACGTGAGGAATTCACACCTGACCAGTGCCAAGCGACAGAGGGAAATCAAAGATCTGTTGTACCCATCACTGCTGAAGAGCCACATAAAATGGAGAACAAGCAGTAGCCTGTCAGGCATTTCAAATGAGAAGCTCCAAGCCAATACTGTGGTTTCACAGCTCAGTGAAGATACCGGTCTAGCTGAAATATATTATCCCACAAGCTAAGCTCTAGAAAATCAGTGCTACACTCTTGTAAGAAAATGCAGACTTCTGAGCAGTCTTACTGCAACAGGTCTGAAAATTTGTTTTTAACACTTTTCCACAACTGTGTTAAATAGGGCTACAAATAAGTCTTTCATTTGGCCAGAATAAATGGAGCCATGTATGTGGTTTACAAGTATATGTACAGTTTGGCATTCACTCACAGACTTAGGCATGGAGAGAAAAAAAGCCTAAGTTTCAGAAGTTTCTACTCAGGTAGAAGGGGCAGGAATTTACTACTTGTTTAGAGGCATTAAAAGAAAGAAAGGTAAATCCTAAGAAGCTAGGGCGAAGAAAAGAAAACACCACAAGTTTTTCTGTGCCTTGTATGGCACCAGTAGGGACAAGGATTTGTCTGGTTTAAAATTTGGTCAGTAGACTCTTCACCTTCCAGATAAATACATTACATTCCTCTGTAAAATCACCTTGCAGAACAGGGAATAAACTTTCATGGTTATAAAGATTTTTTCAGACAGAGTGAGAATTAATTACCTGTCATCGCCAAGTTGATGTTGTGAGTATTTGCTGAAAGTAAATTGACACCCATGCCCATAGCCCAGGCAGAGTGAAACTCAACCGCCGTCAGAAACGGCAGGACGTTCATCCAAGCCGTCGGGAAGAGCACGGTGTCCACCTGCAACTCGCTCACCAGGACCACGGCAGGCTCGCGGAAAAGGATGTCGAAGCAAGTGAAAATACCAAACTTCCCAAAGGGCGTCTCAAAGGTGACAGCTTCTGGCTCTTTGGGGTAATTAAACTGAGTTTCTGACATAAAGAGATTATACTGTAGGGGAAGGAAAAAAGAGAAACGAGTTAAAAGTCACTTGCTCCAATATCCTGGAGTCATTCCCTAAAACTGTTCAGAATGACTAGAGAAGCTTTGACCTGTGTTTGAAGCCTTCCCATGTAGGACGTCAGGCTAAGATGGTATGATCACCAAAAGACACATATTGACCTGGCATCTAGCTAGGAAAGCAACTGGCTACCTGCAGATCGGTTGGTGTCAGCCACCTGCAACTCCCATAAAAATAATCTCTCCACTCTCACCACCTAGTTTATGATTCTAGTGACCTGAAAGACACACAGAAGAGAAATAATAATGGAAGAAGAGCATGGAAGATCTGGTGCCAAGAGACAGGATTGATGACCTTGGTGTGAAGATGCACAGAAGGACTGGAAGCACACAGCACCAGCAGGAAGCACGAGACAGGACTGGGAGATTGCAGAGCAGAGAAGAAAACAAAGGCTGTGGTGATGGGGGAAAGGCAGATGATCTCAGCCAACAGAAAAATCCAAGTTTGTGACATTCTCAGCTTTCTAACACCTTCCTTCTTCCTTCACCTTCACATTTCCTGAAAAAGTCCTTTAATCTCCAGGTGGCCTGGACAGTAAACACGTCTACAGAGCCAGAAAAGAGGTTCAGGTTTATGAACTTGGAACTCAGCGCCTGGACCGTGCCAGGCTGACACACAGGGGACCAGACTCCCATTATCGGTGTCTCCCTCACCCAGTTTGCTTATAAAGAAATATCTTGGCATCGTCTCTGAAGAACCAGGTGAAATACTGGGCCCAGAGTGCGTTAAATAAACAAGTGACTTCAGTCTAGCCACATCGGCATGATGTCTGGCACACGACCCCCAGACAACTTTGATAAACCTTTGATAAACCACTGAGTGCAAATGTTTCAATGCCCTCACCTCTTTTTACACCCAGCTTAGATCCATGGTTTTGTCCAGATAATTCCCGCTATGCAAAAACTGTGCTGAAACATCATCAGGGAAAAAAAACAATAGGAAAGGGTCTGTCTGCCTTAAATCAGTCTACTCATCTAAGAGAAGATGCAGATGAAAATTTTAAAAACCTGGAACATTAAGGGGTAGTCTTGTGAAAACCTGGCACTGAAAACTAAAGCTACGTCAGCAACAGGATTTCCAGTAATAGGGTGTTCACGAACTGAGGAAGCCAACCAAAGCCATACGCCACTAAACTGGACCTCAGCAATCATTTTTCATTCTAGTCTGCTTTGAGAAACGTGACAGCAAATGCAAATTTGGAGTTCACACTTCACAACAAGAGAGGGATTCTTCTAATCTTAATTAAGTTTAATTAATTTATCTTAATTAAGTTTAATCTTAACAGAAGAAAAAAATCTACCATGGGACAAGGGCTGGCATTTAATTCTCTTGCCAAATGGAGACATTTTGGAAGTAGTGGAAAAATAGCTTCTGATTTTCCAAGGCCACTTTACCTTGTGGTAACGAGCCACCAGTTTCCCCTCTGGGTCAAAGACGACATCAGTGTTGTACTGATAGCGACCGTCGCGGGGGCAGCCGGGATCACTGGAGTTACATGGCTTCTTGTCCCCGATGTTTGCAACCACATAGATGGAGTTATTCCTGGCCATGCAGCTGAGTCGTTCCTGCACCGGAGCAGGAGCAAATCTAACGTATTTCAGGGGAAGAAAAAAAAAAAAAAAAATTAAAAAAAGACTAGCAAAATCTATGCTGTCAGTGGTGTCCATCACCGGGGTGCTCAGGGCACACCGGCAGCACCTCCGATCCTGCAGTTCAGGCAGACATACAGGGTTGCTGCAGCACTGCCTCAGGTTGCTTCCCACACCTTGGGGTACGTCCTGGAGCCCTCCCATCAGTGTCCGAAGGGACATGCCACCCCTGGGCTGCCTGCCAGCACCCCTTGGCACCCGGAATGTGCTCTGCAGGAAGTAGAGGGCTTTCCCTAGGGCTGGGAAAGGGCAGGAGAGGGATCGCTGGGCAGAGGAAGAGACTAATTTGGTGTCACACGGGAGAATATCTTAGCATCTGGCACCTGAGGACCATAGCTCTGGGCCCTCGACACACCGAGCAGAGTGGAGCTGTGGAATAGTGCAGCTGGTGTGGTCAAGGCAATTCATCTCCTCCCACGGACAGGAGCGCACAGTCCTCCAGCCGTGGCATGAGCAGCAGAGTGATACTCATTTCAAGATGTGACAGGCTATGTGCCGTAAATTGCCAGCACTGCTGAAGCACCCATACCAGGCCAGAAAGAGAGCAGACATCCCCCTCTGTAAGGTGGTGATGCATATGGCTTTGCAGGGTGGGCAGGGGCCACACAGGAGGACCACCATGCAAGATACATACATAGCACCAAGGAATAGGGCAGGCCAGACTGTGATGGCAGGCATGCTAGTAAAACAAGCTGCTAATGAAAACCTCGATTTAGAACAGTGGAGAGACACAGAGGTCACCTTCACAAAAACTGACTGTGGGAAGAACCGGAATAAAGACCTGCTTAGACACGCTGCCACCCCACGCCCCACATTCACTGAGAGACTCTATGTATTTTAGCTGCTTACATCTCAGCAAAAAGTTGCACATCCTGCACTTCTCCCTGTTGTGAATCTTCCTCTCAGGATCGTTGAAGAATTATATCCTCACAGATGTAACAGCATGCTCTAAGCACCTCATCATCGAGCAGGTGCAGAAAGCCGTGGTGAAAAAGGCAGACCACAGCTGCAGATCCATGGCTGAGCACTTACTGCATGCTGTATTGATCTGAAGGCCAGCGCCCAGCTATAGGTTAGCTTGGCCATCCTGGAACGTGATGCTTGAATGAAAGATCACATTCTACAGCACGGAGAGACTAGCAATTTGGACTTTATCTTATCTTAATTGGGAAAAACTAAGATTGAAAGTTTCTGGACATGTAACACTCAGAGGTTTTTTTGGACTTTGACTACTGACCTCATCAGCTCTGTTATTAGCTGCTCAGAAACTAGTTCTTGGCTGTCCGCAAAAATGGTGTGTGTGCTTTTGTTTAAACACGGCATTTGTAAAAAAATCAAACAAACCAACAGAACAAATAAAAAACTAGTGTTAAGTATTTACAATCAATTCTGTTCAAAAGAGTGTGAAAAAACTGCAAACAGAATGAGAAGCAGCATATTCTGGCATCAAAGCTTTTCCAAGTGCAAAAAAATGTGTTTCCTCTACATTCAATAACCCAAATTTTGTATAATGTTTGAATTTCTCTTTAAAGTGTCTAATTAAAAAACCTTTTTTTTTTTTTTTAAACAGAGTTCCCTCATCGACTAGGCATGGACATGCCATATATTTTATCATGTAGCTTACCTTCATATGCAAATTTAATTGGAACTTACCCTCATGTCAAAAGCATTAGCAGTTCTTACGCATTACTGGGAGCAGCTCATGACTCCATGAGACACCGCTTTGAAACCACACAAATCACTGCAGAAGGAATCACCTTGTGGGGTCGGTGCAGGGAATCCAGTTCACCGCCGGATCAGGGATGTCCTCCAGGTAGGGGTAGATGGTTTCTCTCGTGAAAAGCCAGCCGTAAATGCCGTCTTCAGGAGTCACAATGATGTGGGCGCCCTGACACAACAGGCTCCGTTAAGAATTCACCCATCAACAGATAACCAGGAGGGTCAACAGGAGGAGAAAACACTAATTAACAACGCTTACGATACACCTAGTACCTGCTGGGCGGCTTCCCTGATGGCCCCTTCCAAGACATCCATGTTTTTGTTCATCAGGGCCAAAGCATCGTCGGGAGAAACGGGCTTATTCGTGGCATCTGGCAGGATGACGGCGTGCTCGTAGACGGCGGCAATGAAGGTGTCGGAGGCAAAGGCCTGAAGGACCGCGAGTGCAAACACCGCAGCGTGCAGGAGGGGCTGGGAAGGGAGCATGGCTGATGCCTCGCAGCTCCTAGAATGCTCTGAGTCATGGACAAATGGTGCGAAAGGAGCATGCGTAGAAAAGAAGAGAGAGACAAAGTTTAACTTTGAAGGAGGGTGGAAGTGCTGGTCTGTTAAAGCATTACCTTGGAATCAAGCGTCGCTGGTGACACACGGGAATGTCTAACAGTACACAGTAAGGATGTCGCAACTCAACGAGACTGAAAAACTGGGCAATGCCAGGACTAATTGTGCCAATATAAAAATTAGTCATTAAACATATGGCTAGAAAGAACAGTCCAACTTTTGTTGTAATACTTTCTCTGTCATCGATTGCGATAGACTTTTGCTATCTATGTTGGCTCAACCCTGATACCCAGGTGAAAGGTGGATGTGTCACCCCTGGAGGTAGTCTTCTGTGAGGTCTGAGTAGCAAAACTGAGGGTCTTAAAAACTGCTTTATTCTAGCGTCTTCATATTCCCCAATTCCTGTGCTATGTGTGAGTATGTGCAGCTTGCTTCCCTGAGTTTCTTTAGATCACAGTCATTACATTAGCACCCCACTGTACTTAGATGTAGTACACTTAACATGCCAGCAGCAGAACTGTTCCTTGCATTTATCCCGGTGGTTCTCCCAGTCACTTCTATTTGTCTGTACCTCACTTTCCAACATCCTTCTACCAGAAAATGTGCATCTGGAGGGAATGTTTTCCTCTGAAATCAGGCAGGTAAGTACCTCATTGTCTGGCTGCCTCTAGCCTGAAGCGTAAGAGCAGGCTGGTTTACCAGGCGCGGTGGCATGCCTGCTCCTCTGCTCACCTTCCCTATCCCCAGGAACATGCTGTGTATTCAGAGGCTTTCATTTTTAATCTTCAATTCAGTTCAAATGCATTTTTTGCTATGACATACATTTTTTTTAACTTTCTAGTAGTTGCAGTATTCTCATTTGGAAAAGGTTTTCTGAACAGCGGGAGGCAGAACAGGCTGTGCCTTCAGCTACAGCAGACTGGCATTGCAGAGCTGTCGCAGAAGTAAGACAGAAATGTGGGTGAATGCAAACACCAGAGTGTTCCCTGCAAGAGTAGCGCTGACCAAGGGTTTCAACCATTAGGAACACTGATTTGCATCTGGTAATGTTCACTTCGAAGTACTTCTCTACATACATTACTAGATGCAGCATGCTCATTCAGAAGCCTTAAATATGAGCCTTTAAGAGGCTGCAGTAGAGATTTCAGTGGAGATTGAAGTGATGTAGCTTGGAAGCCTTTCCCCGCCCCGTGTTTTTCTTACCAAATGAAGTATGGTTTGAGTCACATTAACCACAATTGGACAAGTCTGAAGGAGGAAGCAGGAAACGCTCCCTTGTTTCGCAACAGCTAAGACAACAGTCAGCCCAGAAAGGAGACTGCCAGGGCAGGGCTGAGCAGAAAAATTTGCAAGTGTGGGGCTGGGGTACTGCCCTGCAAAGTTCAAGTCATATCGCTGGGACAGAGGGGGTTCTGTAGTACGGTGGGATGAAGACATCCCTGTCTGCCTCTGTACCAGCAGGCACCACCGCCTACCGCCTGCAGAGCTGGGAGCTCACCCAGGAACAAGGAACAAATGCCACTTAATCAAACAAACCAACCCACTCAATAAAACTTATCAAAACTACAGCAGTTCAGGCTATCCATGGCAGTGGGCAATGTAAAAGGAAGCTTATCCTAGAGCTCCCTCTATTTTTCACACCTCCATCCTCCCAATCCATTCTCCCCACCCCTCTACTTGCACTCTCCCCCGTCTCTGCCACTGCGGGATGATGGCAGTTATCTGAGGACTTACTTTTGTGCAACAGGATGCAATTTGTTGCTAAACCAGCTTAGCTGTAGAAGTCGTCTGTCTTCCGACTGTGGTCCTGCTCCTCTTCTTGTGCTAAGAGAGACTGCGTGGAGCTCCTCATTCGAAGGAGTTCACCTTGCTGTGGAGAAGCCAGCGTGAAGGATCACATCTGCAACCACGCAATCACTGCAAAGCAGCGAGGACGTGCAGGCGGGATGAGGAAATCAGAAGCCACCCATTTTTAGCAGCAGCACGTAGCTAATAAGCACATAATCGCTTAGCCGTAACCAGACACCAAGCCCTAGGGCGCAGATGTAAATGCAGAGATACAGTCCTTTTTCTCCACAAACAAGTGGAGTGTCTTCCAATACTTCTATTATATGAATTGTAGTAGGTTACAATTTAACACATTTACAGACTAAGATCTTGTTTTTACAACATTCACTTTGTTCAAAACCAATGTATTTTGCATCCTGCAAGTCTATGTTTTTTATGATGTTGGTCAGATTAAATGTGAACAACATTTTTATTTCAGAACAAACGTGCAGAACAAACAACAGAATTAACCGCACGTAGAAATCTTAGCTGTGCCATGCCAAGTAAGCCAGTCTACTTACTTAGAAAATACAGTCTGCAGGGCCAGTGTTTTCGGTCTGTTCCAGCTGTTCTCCAGCCTTTCCCAACACCTGCCTGCACAGTCCTGACCCTCGCTCCCACCAGCACAAGCAACCATTTCACTGGAAGACAGATATGTACCTGCAAAATCGCTCATTTTGAGAATTTTTGATGTGGACCCACCTGACTGCTTGAAACCGGTGACACAGTTATCAACAGTTTTGTGGAAAGGAGATTTTCCACACCCTAAAACTATGGCCAGAAAGATTCAAGTAGACTCCTCCAGCTGTAAGTTAGGGCATGGCACGATGACACATGACACTGTGTGCTGAGTTGAATAACTGTTTTTTTAAGCAGTGGTGTTTTGAAGTTTGTTTTCTTTTTCAAAGTAAACGATAAAAGTTCAACCATTGGCCTTCAAAGGTTCTGTTAATCTCTAGTTTAGAAGTGTGTGTTCAGAAATGGGGCAGAGCAGTGTTGTGGAAACGACTTCTAATACTCCACCAAAATTTTCAAAGAATTAAAAATCGGTTGTTATTGGGCCACAACCCACTGCTATGTGCCTGAAGCCTACACCACCGAAGTCAGAGGAATTTATTTTCTATTGTCCCCAGTGTCAAGGTCAAGCCTATGACAACCGACCCTATAGTGTAAAAATACATGCAGAGCTGCCCAGCAGAGTAATTTATTTTTGCTGCAAAATCGAGCCATTGCACATTGATTTGTTGACTATGTTGTTAGACAAGGCAACTTGAAAAATAGAATGTCATTATAATTATGGGTATTAACATTAATTAACATTGTGATTAATTATGATTAATTAGCATTACAGAAACAAGCAGATGAGATCTTAAAGGATCTGCAGTGAAATCATGGTGAAGCTTGCTGTGTGCGTGGAGGGTCCTTTTCATACCACCTCCCAAAGAGTGTTACACTCAAAACTGGCTTTGATGTACTAGTCCGACTTATTGGACGTCCATCAGTTAGCACCTAGTTATGGAAAAGTAAAATAACCAGGAACATCAGCATAGCAGTACTACTGTATGACAAACACAAAATAATATATTCATTAATCACAGAATCACAGAATCGATGTGGTTGGAAGAGACCTCAAAGATCATCAAGTCCAACTTTTGCCCTAACACCACCATGTCAACCAGACCATGGCACTAAGTGCCACATCCAGTCTTTTCTTAAACCCCTCCAGGGATGGTGACTCCACCACCTCCCTGGGCAGCCCGCTCCAATGCCTAACGACCCTTTCTGTGAAGAAATGCCTCCTCATTTCTAGCCTGAACTTCCCCTGGCGCAGTTTCAGACTATGCCCTCTTGTCCTGTCACTTGTTGCCTGGGAGAAGAGACCGACCCCCACCTGGCTACACCCTCCTGTCAGGTGGTTGTAGATAGCAACCAGGCCTCCCCTCAGCCTCCTCTTCTCCAGACCAAACCCCCCCAGCCCCCTCAGCCGCTCCCCATCAGACTTGTGCTCCAGACCCTTCCCCACCTTCGTTGCCCTTCTCTGGACTCGCTCCAGCACCTCAAGGTCTTTCTTAATGTTGACCTAGCTGAGAGATGTGAAGTCTGAGAAAAACTACACTTCTGTCTTGAGCAAGATCTTGTTCCAGGGAATTTGGGGGAACAGGGAAGAAGGGAATCGGCAAGATGGACATGCAGTATGAATGCAATTAGGAAAATCAGGCAGCAATAAAGCTGCCTTGAACTCAAGCCAGCTACCAAAATAGAGGACACTGATAACTACCAAGTTGCTCCTGTGTCCTGTACTGGCTTTTTGACCATTTTCCAAGTCTGACAACTCACGAGCGTGTCCCATTACCTTGAACTCCCCAGGAGCCAGCTGCAAAGACTTCTGGAAAGACGTAGTTAGTGCCAAACGTGCCGCTGAGGGAGAACATCTCAAACTTGGTCTGTGCCGTCTCCACCGGCTGCCCACACGTGTTTGGATCTGTGCTCTTGCACTTGAGCAGCGTGCATATCTGCGGGGAGAAGGGTACAGAAAGGTAAAATACCACTAAGCATTCAACAATCAAGAATTGGATTTGATTGTGAGAAAAGCTGTCATGATGAAGAAATGGTCCAATACTTCCACTCATTTATTGAGGCCAAGAGGATCTGTCGGTGGCACTTGAAACTTTGTAAAAAAGACAGTTTTTTGCCAGCACCGCAGCAAAGCACCGTGTCTGTGTGTACACACGTGTGTTTATAAGTTACGTGTGCATTCACGCATAATGCATATGCATTTAGTCATAGACGTGGAATAGTTTGTGACCTAGGAAAGTTACTTCAGCTCTGGCTGAGTTTCCTAAAAAACTGATGCCACACTTATTTGCCTACTCTAGTGGGAATACTCTAAAGATATAGAGAAAAATATAAAGATGCAGGACATTAAAAAAAGCCTAACAGCGAAATTTAAAAGAATCAATACACTGACAAGCTATGTGAATACAAATGTTATATCCGTGTTTAGTTTCTTATTTTTGTTAAGATAACCACATGTTAGAGAATCACATCAGCACAATGGTAAAAACCACTGAGCAGAAAACAGCTCTCTGTTGTGACAAGAGCATCTCTGTGAAGACAGGGAGAACTCTAACAATCTTCTCTCCCTTTTGTACACATATATGGAAACCTCCTTGAAGCACAGGGTCAACTCAGGGTCTTCGCTTTCATCATTTATAACACAGACAGAAAAGAAGGATCAACAGCCCTAATGAAGTCAAAATGCATCATGAAGAACAGAAATGCTTTCAGAGGTACCTAAAAAATGCCTCCTTTTAAACCCCCTCAATCAAGTATGAGACAAATGCAAAGGGGCTGCAAAGAGAGTATTGCAGCCTTCCCACTGTCCAAATAAGAACGGAAAACTTTTACCTGCAAATAATACTCTCCTTCAACAACATGTAGCCCATCAAAGGCTTTCTGCTTCTCTGCCATCTTGTAACTCAGATGGCCGCAGAGGTCCTGCTGGCAAACGGCACGATCTCCCTTGGGTTCAGTCAGCTCCATGAAGGAGAAGAGATCATGGTAAACGACCCCACTGAAGTGGTGGCTGTTTGGTGGAAGCTGTTTCATCCCGCTGGCGTGCAATTTCCAGTTAACAGCAGCAGGATAGTCAGGAGAGAGACGTGGGTGTCAACTCAGTTCTGTCACCAAAAGGTGACCATTTTCTGTTTCTGTATTGTAATAATATGCTCTCGGACCATCTGGGGCATAAATACCACTCCCAGCAAACACGTAACATCAGAAAGCTTTTAATCCAAAAGCAAGTGTATGGGGCAAGTAAGCAGTCTTCACTAATTAAACATGTGCCAAATTTTATTCTAATATTTACCAGATTGTTTTGAAACTAAATTAAGCCTTCACAGACTACAATCCTAACAGAATGCTTTTTGCAATCAATGCACAGAAGACCAAACTCTGATACTTCATGTATTGTGACAAAATTAGTGTGCTAATTATATGCCATTATATATGATTTAAGTGGCTGAAGCTATACATTCCTCAATGAGTGTAGGTGCATTAGAAATCAATATTTCTGATTAAAATGAATGGTAACACTGTCAAGTCAAAAAAGTTCTGTAAGGAAAAGATATTACCAAAAGTCACATCTTTATGCAAGCTCTTTACATAAATACATAAATCTTTAAAGCCTAGAGTAAAACCTATCCATAAAGAATACAAGTTGTATGACATAGGGTCACCAATGACCGAGAACTGAAGGAACAGCCCCTCTCTGCTTTTATTTGGAAGTCAAAATTTAGGACTACATTTTAGCAACACCAGTAAGTTTCTCTCACTTCTGCAAGCACATGCAAAACTTATGCTTGACTTCTAGCATCCGCTCAGGAAAAATACACAGGGAAAACAGAGCCTGCAAAGAAAACTTGGCAGACACTCTGCAGCCCAGAAGTAAGGTTTGAGGACTCACCAAAACATTTCCCAGAGTTAGATTTCCACCTAGTGGAGAAAAAAAGTTTGGGCCTTCACATCACCAAAACATCGCTAAACAGCAGGGTTAGAAAATGAAGAATCACATGCATAAACTCCCAGGACTGATCATTTAACAAGTAAATAAAGGTGTTCTAGTCAACGTAAGCATTTCTGAGTTCTTACATACCACATTTTGACTTCCTTTTTATCTGTACAAGTTCTCTTGTCCTAATCCTATTGACATGTGTATGCATGCCTAAAGCTGATGGGAATTTCTTGCTCAGGTCAACTGCACTACATAGATAAAAATGTTGCTCATGCGAACAAGATCAGTTAGAGCAATATCACAGTACCTGCCATATCATAGGACAAGAGGAAACGGTCTCAAGTTGTGCCAGGGGAGGTTCAGGCTCGACATTAGAAAGAACTTCTTCACTGTTAGAGTCATTAAGCATTGGAATGGGCTCCCCAGGGAGGTGGTGGAGTCACCATCCCTGGAGGTGTGCAAAAAACGTTTAGATGTGGCGCTTCAAGACATGGTTTAGTGGGTTTAGCGGGCATGGTGGCATCAGGTATACGGTTGGACTTGATGATCTTTGAGGTCTCTTCCAACCATAATGATTCTATGATTCTATGATCGAAAGTGGAGATGCACATATTTGCTGAAAGAAAGTTGACGCCCATCCCCATGGCCCACGCTGAGTGAAACTGGACCGCTGACAACAGTGGAAGAGTGTTAACCCAAGCAGTTGGGAACAGAATGGTGTCAACCTGAAATCTGCTTGCCAAGACCACAGCTGTGTCATGATAGAGTATGTCTGCACAAGTGAAAATGCCAAAGTAGCCAAAGGATGTGTTGAAAGTCACAAATTTTGGATCCTTGAGGTAATTAAACTGTTTTTCTGTCACAAAAAGGTTGTACTGTTCATGAAAACGAAGGAATGGAGAAAAAAAAAGATGAGAAAAGAAATCAAACCATTTAAATCGGACTAATACTGAATATAATACTCATTTACTTAAATGCAAGTAAAGGAGAATACGTTTTGTGAACATGCCATATCTTAATTTTGAAAAAGAGACTTCATATCACTGCAAAAATATCTGTGATTCTGATTTATACTAGTAAAAGGGATTTGTATTTACTTAGCAGGAGTTTAGGACATTAATGTTTTAATATCTCATGTGTCACTTCCTATTGAGAAACAGTAAAAATAGACAGCTTATTGAGCTTTAATGAATTTCATTTCACTACTTGCTATGAAATTCAGAATTGCAGGAATGAAGAGATCTTAAGGCAGTGGCTTTCACCTGCCCTCTGATACCTGCTCTGTAACAACTCTATGCACAAATACATTTAAGCCTGGGAAGCAGCTTCTGTTTCACATCTTTAACCACCCGAGGATCATGCACTTCCTGAACATCGTAAAATCCCCTCACCTTGTGATAACGAGCCACCAGTTTCTCTTCTGAGTCAAAGACAACGTTGGTATTGTACTGATAATGACCATCACTTGGGCACCTTGGATGACTGGAGTTACACAGCTTCTTGTCTCCTATATTTGCAACCACATAGAGGGAGTTATTCCTCGCCAGACAGCTCAGTCTTTCCAGCACAGGTGAGGGAGCAAACCTAAGCAGCAGGGAAGGAGGAAAGGAAATAAAACATGAAAACCAGACAATCCATAAAAATGCCAACACTGACTACGGATCACAAGAATGATAGGTTTAAGTTAGTCATATCTAATATGAGACTGTTGTTTTCTGTTATTCAACAGAAGGCAGTGGTTTCGTTCTTCAAAATTTAGTGTGCTGAAACTCTGGTTTCGCCTCACATTGACTAAATGAGGAACACAGGGGTTTCCTTGCAGTCAAAGCAAATCTTTGCACCTCCAAGTCTCCCTTCTGCTGCCGGCGTGTGGCACAGCGTTGATGTTACACTGACACACAGGCGAATCTCAGCCGTTCTACATCAGCTCTTGATTTGGCTGCTGTCCTGAGGTAGCTTAGGATTGGTTTCTTCTATGCTATGTTTTGTTATCTTTCACCAAATATTGCAGCTTCAAAAAATGTGCAATTTATTAAGGAAAATACCACATCATGATTCAAAAACATAAATTTGAAATTGTGCAGTATATAATTTCAATAGTAGCTGTTATTTTATTCACAAATATTCCTAATATTCCTGTATCTTAAACATTTTCTATAACATGCATGGAACACATTACTGAAATATAGATTCTGTAGGTTTTTGTTTTTCTTTTAAGTAAATCTCAACCTTTATGAATATGCTAACTAAAATCAAAAAAATTACAGCCAGAAAAAGCAACAGAGAAAAATTATGAAGGAAGTTGTCTAAAGCTATTTATGGCAACTACATGATGTCTAACCTGCCTTCATTTCACAGCAGTTGTTCCAAGACATTTAAAACTATCAACAACCACTCCTAAAGGTCAGAGTCTTTCCCATCGGACCGTTCCCCTGTGCACAGCAGGGACGATACCTTCCAGGATCAGCACACGGAATCCAGTCCACCTGTGGGTCTGGGATATCCTCCAGGTAAGGGTATATTGTTTCCCTTGTGAAGACCCAGCCGTAAATGCCATCTTCAGGAGTCACAATGATATGGGCACCTTGTTATCAACATACAACCCCAAAAAACACCATTAAGAAAAGGCATAAATGGTCAGCATTTACCAAAACTAATGTCTCTAAGGAGGTCATAGTACTTGTCTGGCTGCTTCTTTGATGGCTGCTTCCAAAATTGCCATCTTTTTGTCCATCAGCGTCAAGGCCCCCTCAGGAGAAACTTCAGTGTCCTCTGACAAAACCACGTTGTGCTCGTAGATGGCTGTGGTGTAGCTGTCCAGGGCAGAGGCCTCCAGAGCAGACAGCACCAAAAGCACGGCAGAGGCAGGAGCTTTAGGAAGCCCCATGTCTGGAGCCTGGAAGTCGCCCAAGAGGAGACCAGGACAAGCAAAGATGGGGGGCTTTAAATGGAAATCCTTGCACAAAAACCTGGGAATTTCCCAGAGCAGCAGAAAGCCAACACCAGGAGATGCAATCACCCTGCCCGGAAAGTCTCACAACATCAAAGGCAAGAGAGCCACCAGCATTGAGCAATTCTGCCTTACACAACCGGCAGAGAAGTCACTGCCGTGCTGCAGCTGAAAAAACACGTGTGTCGTCAGATCTGAGAATGATTCAGGCGTGGCATCGCTGTAGTCATGCAGTTCAAGGCAAGCCCGGGTCCCAGCAGGAAAAGAAGCCAGAGTTTGGGAAATCTCAGCAAAGACCAGCACGGACACATTCAGGGCGTGGGTTCCAGGCAGGGCTGGAGGGGGCAGGCGGCCGGCCCCGAGCTCAGTGCTGCTGCACCGACACTGCCTGTCCCACCCCAGCTCAAGGCAGCTCCAATTAAGCTGAGTACAGCTTGGCTATGCCTGGCACAGTCCCTACTTATCACAGCTTCACAGTTGTACAACTGTGTTAGTAACGGCAGATGGGTATTCAGATCTGCCACCGCATGAGACAAGCACAGCACCAGCCAAGGGGTTGCTGAGTTTCCCATAGGAGATCCCATTGCTCTGCCTTAACCATGGTTCCAGGACCCCTGGTTCATCATGGCAAGAGAACATGGTTGTGAGTTGATTTGAACAAGTGTGGAAACCAAGTTTGGAAACCAGGTTTCTTTTGCCTCTATTGTGTATGTGAAAGAATGAAGAGGGAAGAAGACGTGTTGCCAGAAAGCTAGATGGGTTAGTTAAGCCTGTCTAGTTTCTACTGGAGCTCTGGTGAAGTTCATGCATTGCAGGACAGCTTATTAATTTCAATGACATTTGTGCTCTTTCTGGTAATCCTGGTCACTTCAAATACTAACAGCACAAGTCAGGTAAGTGACCAAGTCATTCCACAGAGCCAAGTAAGTCTCATGTCTACAGATCTGCATCTTGTGCACCTTGCACCTATCGCTAGTCCTGTCAGCTTCTCCTCACCATTGGCACTGGCAGGGTCAGCATTTCATAATGGGCTGAGGTGTACATTCCCAGTTTTGGTGAAGTCTAACACCTGATACAAAAGGACAGGGAGCTATTGCCAGGATGTTCCAAGGGGAAGCCTGCTCTTTGGTACCCTGATGTAGCCAACTGAACTGTGAAGTCAGAGCAGTTCTTCTTGCTGCTGCCTCAAACAGGGCTCTGACAGAGGAAGAACTATTTCTCAGGTAAATTCCAGTAGCTACTCACAAGAGAAACTGATTGGAAATTGCTAGGCCCAGGCAATTTTTTTCATTTACAGAAAAATGGGTACCACAGAGAACCCCTTCTAGGACCCAGTTCTGAGCTCAAGGACAAATTAAAAGACTTTTGCCACAACCAAGCTCAAGAAGCCCAGTGTGAGGTTGCCAGGTGTGCCCTTGTCTCTGTGCCCCCGGAGGTTTTTTTCGCTGAGCATCTGGAGGAGGTTAGATTTCCTCGCCCCCCACCCCTTGCTAGAAAGTAGTAGCCTGTACTTTTCCTAGATATACTGTTGCAGAGGCAATTGGTACAAACATTCCAGCTGGCATTTATTAGTAAAATAGATCTCTCTCACACCAAGCTCAGTCTTCACATATAATACAAACATACCTACGTCTGTGTGTGTATGTATACACATGCAATGTCAAGTCTCCTCCAGGACTGAAGATCAGGTAGTTCTGTGCAGAGATGCTAACTCTTCTCTTCGTTACATTTGCCTCCAGTTTTCAGGCACATTCAAGAAAATACAAGTGCTAGTAGCCACAAAGTCTTTTAGACTCTTGTTGTCTAAGAAAATTCATAAAACTTAGGAAAAAAAAAAGTTGATTTATTGAAAACAATTTCTCATTTCAAATTCTGTTTCAATATTTTATGTTATCAGTTAAAGTATTACAAGATAATGAACCTCCTTTAAAAAAATACAGAAAATCATGGTAGTAAAATAGTAGCTTTACCGAAGAATAATGCATAGCAGGCTCAAGTATAGAAACCAGACATTTGAAATCACCCCTCTTCACATACAGTGCAGCACTGTATATGGAACACAATTAGACAGGCTGATATCTGAGGGTTACTCATCACTTCAGCCAATCCACATGAGGACTCCCAAAAGAAAGGCAGTCAGTGTTTAGTGTTTCAAAACAGTAATGCAGCTACAACGAAACCACAAGTGGTTGTTCACTAAGGGATCATGAATCCCAGCTCCAGAATAATGAAACACTGTTAAGTCCACTCATCTCAACACTAGGTTAAGCCACAATAGTGAACACAGAATTGAAAGTATGTCTGGCTATGTTTCACTGCCCATCAGATGAGTTCTTTCTTCATTATTACCCGGAGGATTTTGCGGGCTGGAACTGGACCTGTTTGGACAAGGAAAAGAATAGGAAGGAAGAAACAGGTTTAATATTCTCTAGATACTTCTATGCAATACCAACATTATAGCAAAAGTGCCACACATTACGTGGAAAGAGCTACGTGAATCACTGGATTTAGTTCCTCACTATTGCACAGAACTATGTACTATTGCTTTCACACCTATCATGTCACAGAATGGTTCGAGTTGGAGGGGACCTTTAAAGGTCATCTAGTCCAACCCCTCTGCAATGAGGGACACCTTCAATGCAATCAGGTTGCTTAGAGTCCCATCCAACCTGACCTTGAATGTTTCCAGGGATGGGGCATCCACAACTTCTCTGGGCAACCTGTTCTAGTGTTTCACCACACTCACTGTCAAAAATTTCTTCCACATACCTAGTCTGAATCTACCCTCTCTTATTTTAAAACCATTACCCCTCGCCCTATCGCTACAGGCCCTATTAAAAAGTTTGTCCCCATCTTTCTTATAAGCCCCTTTTAAGTGTTGAAAGGCTGCTGTAAGGTCTCCCTGGAGCCTTCTCTTCTCTGGGCTAAACAACCCCAACTCTCTCAGCCTGTCCTCACAGCAGAGGTGCTCCAGCCCTCGGGTCATCTTCGTGGCCTCCTCTGGACTCGCTCCAACAGGTCCATGTCCTTCTTGTGCTGAGGACGCCACAGCTGAAGGCAGTACTGCAGGGGGGTCTCACCAGAGCGGAGCAGAGGGGCAGAATCCCCTCTCTCGACCTGCTGATCATGCTGCTTTGGATGCAGCCCAGGGTACAGTTTAGGTCAGTAGGGATTTAGGAAAGCATAGAGACAAAGTATTTAAGCAATATTTTTACTGCTCATCTTGTCTTTCATTATCAGGTTGGTAGTGAGGAAAAAATGGAAGCACAGCTTTCAAAGTTTTGCTTTATATGGCTGCAAGTAAAATAAAGAATAAATATCTCAGCATACCTTCTCCTTGTTGTCTCAGTGATATAGAATATTCCAGCTGCAAGACCCTTTGAGGAAACAGCCAGTTACAATTGTAATAATAATAACCTTATGCAATAGCTCATAATTGCAATAGATATAAAAAGCAAAAAATGTGTAATTACTTACACTTAACAGTGCCCATCCTCCTTGGATGGCTGAGGCCTCTTCAAAACCCAGCTTTTCATTTAGAAATCCTCCCAGAGTGGGACCTGTAAATGCCCTGCAACAAATCAAAATGAGGTATTGGCATCCCAAACAAAAAAGATAACATATCATATTCTCAGAGAACATTTTTATTGTGTTTTGTGGCCTCCCTCCATTGATGCTCTCTCCTTCATCAACAAAGAGATTGTCTTCCAGAGACCTAACTTTCCTATAATACACAACAAGTATTAATTCTCTGTTTGCCATGGCCCCAATAAACCTGTCTAGTTACCTCCTCAGCTGGAAGTAGGATCCACGTTAGAAAGCTGAATGCACTCTTTTCTGTATCTGGAATGGCTCAGACACCCCATTATGGACCATTTTCTACCAGGGCATCTACATTAATAAATTTATTTTATGATAGAATTGAAACTCTTATCCCTGAAAATTTAAACCTTCCAGCCTTCAAAACAAAAGACTGATGGGTATAGGCAGGTGGGGAGGCACATTGTGACAGATGTGGTCACTGCAAGATTGAGGTGTATGTAACTGCCCTGCACCTTCATTTCATGCCTGTCTAAATGTGCCATGAAAGGTCATGCAGCTGCTGTCACTTTATGAAAGGTCTTACATGATACGGTCTGTTGTTACAGAAAGGGACAAAACTATCTAAAAGTAGCGAGACTTCCTGGAAGCAAGTCACATAATAAAACCAGGTTTGATAACAGCGTAAAACTGGGGTTTGGTAACTTTATACTACCCATATCTGTACTGAACCCTACACCAAACAAACCGGACAGCTAGAACTTCAGTTAGCTTGGAAAAAATGGTGCAAATTTGTATCACTGAAACCCACCTGCAGCCAGAGAGGACTACAAGGACAGATTAAAAAAATCTTGGAAGTGGCTGTCAATAGGGGAACTCTGTCCCTTCCCACTGAGTGACAAGTCTGAAGGGTCACTCAGCCAGTAGCGCCTTTCACTCATTTCTGTAACGACCACTGGGTAATAAACACAGACACACTCTGCTGAGCTACACAAACACAGACCTTAAATAATGGATATGGCTGAAAGAGAAGAGAAGATTCTACACTTAGCTACCCCAGACAAATGGAGGAAATGTGGAAAATGAAAACTGGATAACAGAATTAGTCAGGAGCAGATACCTTCTAGCTCGCTCCGTGTGGGTGGACTTAGCTTTGTAAAAAATTAGGGTCCACCTCTCCCTGTATTAAGCATTCAATATTTCAGTGACAACAAAAAGGACCACACAGAAGCGTAAGCTAACATCCTCTTAATCACTGCAGCTTTTTGACATGCAGGGCAATACATTTCAAGGAAGACAAATTCAGAGTCCATTCCCTTTGTTGGGTAAAAAGCTTTGCTTTAACGTGTCCACCAGGCACCTATTTAGCAAGAACCTTTTGAATCAAGGTCAACACAATGACTGCAATGCAAGACTTCTGGTTGTAACGCAGCAGGCTTTCGTTTGGCAATAGCGTAGAACAACTGAATGCTCACAGCTCACAAAAAGGTGACTGGATACCTACCCAAGGGACCACATGGCACTGAAGAGCCCAGACACCAGTCCCAGCAGACTCAGACCTTCTTCAAATCCATTCTCACTGCAGACAGACAGACCGGTTAGAGTAGTACAACACATTATTGTGTCTCAGTCTATAGCCTTCCCCTATGGAGAGTTTTTTTCCCTCCTTTTAATTTACACGCAATATAAATAGTTAACAAGCAAAGCCATACAGTGGAATCATGTCTGTTTACCCAGTATTTTCTTCTTTGCTGCCTCTCTGGAGGATTGCAGTGCTATTCCTCATCTCTGATGTCTTCCGAGTAAGATTCCTAATGTCCCACCATCGCTCATTCCCCATGTTTCGTATGGCAAGTGTAAAACAGTGACAGGTGGCTTTTAAGAAGGAAAGACCTTGTTCCAAGAGGAACATACTAATAAAAAGTAAATCAAGACCCTTCTAGGTCATCACTGCCAAGCCACATCACAGACCTTGTACTTTGAGCAAGTATGACTCCTATAGGTGCAGCTGTTAAAGCCAATGCAGTCTGAAAATCCAGTGAAAACTGCTTGCTATTACTTGTCCTCAGAAGCTGAAATAAATCCTATGTATATGAAACCACACACAGGTTTACCCATGCTACGAGACCCAAAGTCTGATGGACTTCAGTGTGTTCATAGTACTGAGGTACACATTTACAAAATTATATTTGGAGTATAATGACTGGGGTGCTTAGAAAAAACTAAGACAAGAGAGTAGTGGAAGCATTTAAATGTTGCTCGCTGCCTTTGTTTCAAAAAGGAAGAAAAAAGCCATATCAAAACCCCACTTCACATTCACCCCTGAAAATTAGTTGCAGTTTCCTACTGTCAGCAACATGAAAGATGTGTTGGACCGAGTTACTTACTATGCACAGTGCAGTATCTCTGGAAATACTGGGATAGCACTCATGCCAAGGGAAAAGCCAATCAAAACCAGCACTAGCACAAACAACCACAGCTGACTGAAAAAGAGGTATTTAAAAGCAGTTAGCTTCTGAAGACTCTTTTCAAGTAAGGATCCTGTTTGACTGAAGGGTGTTATAGCAGCTCTCCATGACTGATGAGAAAACTAGGTTTCTAGAAGCCATAAAGAATTCTACTTTAACTGAACACTAAGACTTGAAAAATACAGTTTTATGCTTAAAAAAAGACTTTGTAAAAGAATTTGAAAATCCTGTGCTCAAATTAAGTATTTCCTTATCAAAAGTTCATTTTAAGAAGAGCACATAGAGAAGAGGCAGACAGACTAGCTTAACTCAGCAATACATATGTCCAAGCTCCAGGCTTGATTTGTTGCACAAGTGAAGGATTTTGCAGCTAAAAGTTTGTAGCCTAATACATTATAACCAAATAGACTTAGCTAAAGAAAAAAACATTGATGATTTTACTGACTACTTTTTCTCACCAGCTCAAATATATGATCTCATCGGTTTCAAATGTATGATCTTCTTTTAAAACTATAAGTCTAGGAGGAAGGATTTGACTAATTCTGCACATTAGCAAGCCTATCATCACCTTTAACAGAATAGAGAACCTAGGACAAAAGGACTGCACCGCTGTTTTGTAAACGTAGCAGTGTTTTGCTGGGAGTTAACTTGAGAGATATGGCAATGCAGTGTTCAGGTGCAACAGACAATGTCTTTACTTAGCTAGCTGAAAACAAAGCTATGATCTGGCATTTTCCTCAGTAAGCTATACACAGAGAGAAGAAAAGTCTATACTGTTGCACAGCCATGCAAATAAAATCTATAGTTAAGAAACACTGATGAAATAGAGAAAATTGGAAAATAAGACAGAAAGATAACTTTGTTTTGCTGCACTGGAAATGCCACTGAATTGGAAGGAAAGGAAAATAAAAAGCAGCATTCTTCCCACCAAATACAGTAAGAGTAAAAAAAAGCAAAGGAAAAGGATCTATTTTATGAAGCTGTAAAATCTCCATTTTCAGATGCTTCCACTGCTTTACATTCACAGTCTCATATTAGAAGTTAAAAAAACCCAAAACACTCTGTTTCATGATGAGAAGTGCTTATTATAGACACATGACTACCATCATGACAGCTATCACAAAAACATCATGTAAGAGGAGAGGCTCAAGAAGAGGTAGTTCTGTACCTTTCAATGTGCAGGACAGGAGCAGGTCCTAACATGAAAAAGCACAGTGCTGTCATTAAGCCTCCAGATACCAGCAGCCACTTCCTGAGGTACTGTGAAAGAAAAGGAAGAGAGATGTAATTTAAAGATGAGAATTTGTAATGTAACTACTCTGTCTTTCCTAATACCCCTCTTCTAAACCTTCACCTCCTCAAAAGTACATCTCCTGTAAGGACCACCATTACGCACAAACTGAGAGTTTCTCTGCCAGTTCTGAACACCATCAACAAACACTGAATTCATGTTTCCTTGCCACCAAAGCAATCACTGGCAGCAGTTGCATAATACAAAGATTTCTTCAGGATACTGAGCAACGGTGCTTCTCTGTTAGAAAAGCATTTTTAGGTCTTACTCTTCCTTAGTATAAGAAATATCATGTAGCATTGCATGCAATTCTCATGTACAAAGGCCATTACTAGTTTTTGTCAGAGAAAAAGAGTGTGTCGGAAAACTGGCACTGTCCTTCAGGCACAGCACTCAAAGTGTAGATTTCCTTAATCAATTAGCAGTGGCCGTCAACCAGGCAGTTTTACGTATACCACTGTCAAAGTCTCTTTCTATGGTGCAGTTACGAGCTAGAGAACCATAGCCAGTTGGTGTGCTGATCTAATTTGGATATTACACTTTTTAAGAGATAAAGTCAATACAGCTAACCAGAACATCTTTACTCCTCTTCTCTAAAGCTGATAAGATTAGATGTGGTTAAAACCATGGATAACCAGGACATATTTTCCCACTCTCCATTCCACTTTGGCTGAAAATAGATTGCGCTAGGTCCACCGGAAAAGCTCACATTCCAACTACAGGATACTCATCCAACATCCTTTACTATTCTGGACATTCGTATATTAACTGGATCTTCCAAATGAGAGCTTCAAGTTGGCAGTATTCAGTGTACGTGCAAGGTTCTGAAAGACAGATCCCTTTATAGGACCAGGCCTACATCCATCCCTTCAATATAGGAAGTCTTCCAGTTTTAACTAAATGTGCAGAGTGCACCCACAAACAGCAGGGTGGTACTCACTGGCAGTTTGTCACTTAGGAATCCAAGGACAGGAGAAGACAGGGAATACGAGAGTGCCAAACCAAGGAATACCAAGCCCACATAACCAGCTGGGAGTTTGAACTACAGAAAAGACGACAAATGAAACAAAAGACCAAAACATCAAACAGTATATATGCTACATTCATTAAAGGACAATCAAAGAACTACATTTTAGGTCAAAATACTGAAATGCACGATTTTAAGTATTTTACTGATACCACACAGAGGTTTTTCAAGTACTTGAAGTCATCAGCAGAGCTCCCAGTTTCCTTCCACTTCCATTTCCAAGCATGGAGTGAAAACACCTGACACAACTGCATTCAGATAAAGCCTAGAGAATCTCAGGAGGAAACACTATGCTGTGTCCCTACACCAGCACACTAGATTCTAACATTAATACCTGGTACATTTAAAACAGACACTTCAAACACTGAAATTTAGATGGATTTAGTCTTTACCTCTCCAATCTTCAGTTTTATTTCCACTTAGAAAAGCGTAAATACTGTAGTCATCCGCTGCTAATCAGTGCATCTTAAAAGTAAGTAGTCCTATAAAACACAACTCTAGGTTTTCAACCAAAGGAGGATTTTCATGAGAATGAGTAACAGGCTTTTTGCAAACACCCTGAGGTCTACATTTTCCTAATGTAGTCACATTTCTGTATTGAAACAAAATGTGTAATGAACCAAAAGCATACCAGTCTCTCAAATGAGTGCTTTAACGACCAGTTAGAAGGTATTCCAAGATGTTTCATGTGGCATGAACTACATAAATATTCACTATTTCCTTGCTATATGCAAGCACATGATAATAATTCTAATTTAGTGGTTAGAACACCTGCCAAGAAGGCTACAGCCCTTTTACAGCAAGTACCAGTTAGCACAGAGCAGAGGGAAAGCAGAGGAGCCACAGAAGTGCACAGTGTTCTAGAGTAGGATAATTACAGATCCCTCCCAGGTGAGGGAAGATGTACATTCACATCTCCACTGATGGAAGAGGTTAGCACCAAGTCTCCTCCATCCTGGATGAGTGCTCTAAGTACTGGACTAGATAGACAAAAAGTAGGAGCACAACATCGTGTGAAAGGCTGTTCCCTGGAAAAACAATTCCTAAATAAACCACTCAAAAAGCATTGTCCAATTTCACATAGGAACAGAATCTTAAACCATTTACTTCAAATTCATTACCTTAAATATCATGAGGAAAATAAATAAATAAAGTAGGAAACAAATAAATAAATATTAAAATAAAGTTAAAATAAAGAAATAAGATGGCATTTGCCTTTTTAATGAGGGAGTGGAGAACTCAGCTGGCAGGCTACATAGCTGCAATCAGTTTACTGTTGGCATTGCTGTGAAAGAATGCAGAGCTGTGACATTCCCAAAAAACAAATGTCCACCATCAAGAGATATAACACTGTCAGTGACTGTTGCAGTTTTACAGAATTTGCTTTCAGAAAGAAGGAAAAAGTCCCTGTTTACCAAACCAGCTGCTGTGCCCTGCTCAGAGAAGGTACTCTGCAGATGAAAGCCAATTAAGTGGAAAAAGCACATTTTTAAAGGCCTTACATTTCCTTGTTCTCAAAGTTACCAAGACCCAGCAGCAACAGCTGGTGTCAATGGAAAATGTGATTTGTCAGTACTGTGGAAATCAAGCTATTTGGAAATCATATTATTAACTGTTAATTAAAGCAGTGTAACTGGATAATGCTTAATTTTGTTAAGGATATTTAAACCACATTTATAATCAGTTATTTACTATTTAGCAAATCAAGACTTCCCTGCATGTTAATAGGACTTACCTTCTTTAGGATAAATAGGGACATCGTGGGATCCAAAAAGCCCAAGCATGAACTTAGAGAAAATATAGTAAGACAGAGTACTAAGACTTTTGGCAGAAGAATGAGCTTCCAAAAGGAGTCCTTGCTAGGGATCGAATCTGCTTCAAGAGAAAAGGGGGAGAAATTGCATTGTTTTCAGCAGCATAACCTCATGATTGATTATCTTCTTCAGAAAAGAAGTCAGTATTTCCCTTTTTCTACTCCTATTAATTTGTTAGATAACAAGAGTAAAGTCAATAGCAGACTATTATGCACTATACTATTTCTATATTAAAAAGCCAAATTTGATAGGTGAATAAAAGAAGAAAAGTACACAATTTAGGTTGCAACATTACAAATCTCCAACTTGAAAAGAACAAAAGCATGTACTATTCCAATTACATGAAAATACAGTTACTTTTTTGCTAGCCCTTATACAAGGAAAATCTCATGGACACATCTCAACTCAAAACCGCATGCACACATGCATGAACCATTTATATCCAATCAGAGAAACACGCTTTGAAAGTAAAACAAAAAGATTGCCATTTATCAGTTGAGATCTGTCCCAATTTTTAAGCAACTAGTCATTCAGGTCTCCTACATGTTCAATTTGTGCTCCAGACAGGAAGCTTCTTTCAGATGTCATGGTCAGATGTCATTTCTAAGTCAGGCCCCCTTCCTGATGGTGTTGGTGCTTTAATAGTTGAATGTGGTCTTAAAGTATACATAGAACTACAAGTTAATTCATTAGCATCCACCAGCTCAGAGCTAACATTTATTTAACGTAGTTTCAAATTGGCTAGTCATATCTTGACTCCAGACAATTTCAGAGCTTGGGGAGGTGGGGGGAAGCCAGCAGCAGCAGCACATGGTTAACCCCCTTCTAAAAGCCAATACATACGAAGTTATTCTCCAAGGTTTTCATATTTAAGAGGAAAAAGATTTTTTAAAAGAAGTATTTTAAAGTTACTGGGTTTTTTTCCTAGAAAATACTAACAGAATTGTAACCTTGCAATTACGATCTTGTGTGGAGACTTATCTTTAAGTTAGCTTTCTGTACAAGCAGGACCATCTAAAATTTAATCAAATTTATAAGACTTCCAGCACCTCAGTTAAATCCCTCATTTATTAACTTTCCTTCATGTTAATCAGATCCTGCATCATTCAGTACAAATAAACCCTTTTTGTCCTCCCTGTAATTCTGTTTTTTCCCCCCACTGTTAACCCCTCAAACATGTCAGGTTGTCTTGTTTTAGGCAAAAATCTATCTCCAGCTTTTCTTCAACTAGCTGCAATGACAAGCTGATACTAAACAGGCATAACTGATCCTCTACAAGCCCTAAAGCTAAGGAGACAAAAGAAAACAAAGAGACTTCCACACAGAGTTCTTAGTATTTGCAGAGATGGGCATGAGGTGTTGGGACTCATTCCAGGTCATCTGCACACATTAATTTAGGTTAGCATTAAAACATGGGACTCGTCAAGATCGCAAGTTAATTCTGCTGGAGCTTTGCCCTCTGAGTTGGATCAGACTTCACAAGTGGGTATTTTTTTTTTTAAAGGACAGTTAAAAACATGAGAAATTAAGGTGAGTGAAGGAGGCAGGAAGAAGGATGCTTACCGTATTTTGGTAATATGCACATATTCACAGGCACCAAGACCAACATTACACATCCCAGTGTAATGAAAGGGACCTCATAACCAAACGATTGATACAAAAAGCCACCTAAAGGTGGGCCCAGCACCAATCCGAGCCCTGTAAAAATTTCAAGGCTGCCCTAAAAGATGAAAAAGCAAGCAACCAAAAAAAAAAAGTCAGTATGCTGAGAAACTCCGATGTAAGAATAAAAAGCAAGCCATTTGTCTGAGGAACAGCACAACATACTCAGCCTAGTGAAAAGAAAAACACACTGCATCACTAAGGGGGATAACAGCTAGTAGTGACCTTCACACGGGGGGATAGCGAAAGGAATTTCACAGTTTTCTGTGTGACAGCCATCACCTTTTTTGCTTCACTACAGGGAACCACCTGTACTGTAGGGTTAGTCACTCTGCTGTCACCTAACAGATCCCAGTCCTGAGGCAAGACAAATGCTCTAGAGTCAGAAAGCACCTGTAGGACAACTCAGGCTGAAGTGATCACCTCTCCAACCTGCCCTTACCTTCCAGCCTGAGCGGGAGGACCCAAACAAGCCTACCTGGATGGGTCATTATCTCATGGGGTGAGGTACACGGGCCAAGTTTAAGCTTTCTCTCCATGACCAACTGTTTGGATTTACTGACTAGGGCTAGGAAATAACAGTGAAATTGCAATGGGGATAACTCAGATATTTTTGGCCACAATTTAATAATTTGGCATCTTTTATAAGATACTAATTTTTTAAAGGGCAATAATACAGTTATACTTAAATCTTCTGTTATAACATCGTAGTCACCACTGTCAACATCTGCCTCAGCAGTTGATTAATCAATGCTTAGACCACCAGTAACAGCAGGTGGTAATAATTGCTTACAGTTGAAAGTTTTGCTAACTTCTGGGACCCAGAAACATAGAATAGGGATTCCTCCTCACTTTAATTTTACTGATACAAGTCAGAGTGGTCAAATAGCCCAAGACTGGGCACTGTCAGCAATAATCAAGTTCTTTACCCTAGGCCAGCCTAGGATCGCAGTCTTTTCCTTTCCTAGCAAAGGAAATAACTAGTAACAACATATGACTAGCAAGTCTACAGCATTTCTAGACAGATTTGAGACATTTTGGAAAACTTCAACACATGGAATGCCCATGAGTTAACATAACTGCATCCAAATCATGCTTTTACTTATGTTGCTCAACAACCATAAAAATATTTATGATTGGTGAGACAAATCAGGCCGTCTATCATTTAGCCCTTCTAAGTTAATGAATTATTGGGGGGTGTGGGGGAGCTGAAGCATTGCATAATTACACATCAGGGTACGATAAGGTAAACCTGATATTGTAAGAAAAGTGATAGTGCTTATGTGCTGACGTTCATACCTCCAAAAGAGGGATCATGTTGACAGATGCTGAACTTTCCATTTCAACAAGGCTGACATGCCTACACTTAACAAAACTTCCTCATATGTTCTCTAGGGTACCCAATGGGTAAAATGACAAGCTGATACTAAACAGACACAACTGATCCTTTACAAGCCCTAAAGCTAAGGAGACAAAAGAAAACAATAGGTAAAAGGTGGGCTGAAAACCAGTACCAAAAGGGTAAGGAGAGGAAAAGTGCCTTTCAGTATCTAGCACTGTCAAGAAGTGCAATGGAAAGCAAGACTAAAAATCCCTCAACCATTCATTCAGGCTTTATGATTTTACCATAGGATGCACCTTGCTTCAACTAATGAGCTTTCTTCTGTCTCCTGCCTCTGCCACCACCATGAGCAGCACTCACAGTAACAAGAACTCTCCATCATGTCCATTTAAGGACAGTAAGTCCACATGAATCAATTTGAAGAGGTTTTATTTTCATGCAGAAGACATTAGAGTATATAATATGGCAAACAGACCAACATTTAAAAGTAATCTGTCTCCGAACAGCACCCTTTCTAGATTTTAAAAAAAGGTAGCTACCAGGCTACAGCTGTGTAGCATTTCTGATTGTGGTCTTGAGGTGATCTTCATCACCATGTACAGTTTTTAGCTACACATCATGTTTATTTTGCTGCCAGCACAGAATTTCATTTCAAGTCTGATTATTAGATAGATAACTATGTCCCTTTAAGTCAAGGTTACTTTTCTTACCTATTTAAATTACATTTCAAAATTTGCAAACAGGAAACCTTAACCTTATCGACGGAATAAATCCAAAACATGATTACAATACATAACCTGCTTTCCAAAGAAATTGCCAGCTCCTCACTGCTGATACAATTGAGTAGATTTTTGCTAGTTAGGAGGCCATATTTTTACAGACATTTATTTATAGAAGTAACTCTACAGCTTAACAACAATATTAATAAAAGTATCAACTTCTCTAATTTTATTAAATGTTCTGAAGGATGTTCTTAACATTTGTTCACTCATTAAAATTTAACCCAGTTATTTCTGTCAGTCTATATTCTAATTGAAACCAGAATTTATCAAAAAAGAAAAAGCAGCATTTTATCAAATACCAAACTGTTTTTTTCCTAACACTATAAAAAATGAATAAATAAGGGTAGTATCTCTAGTTGAAATGAATCATTGATGACCAGAAATAGTGCCCTCCAGATTTCAAGAAGTTCTAGCTCTCCTCTTCTCATACATCACTTTTATCAATAGATTAGAAAAATTAAACCAAAATTGTTTCCAGTTTTGCATCTTTGAGTCATTTAAATCAACACTATTTGAATGAATGAATCAAATTTCTTGAATCAATCCACTTGGATTCTTACTATCCATGTAGAAGTAGTCACTAAAAGCTGTATCAGTATTTTAATAGTCTGATTTCAACTGAAAACTACTGCCATAAATGGTCAGCTGTCTTCAAAACACAAACAGCTAATACATACTGCTTAATTTATATCTAATTGGAGTTATGATAAGGTCTAACCTTGTTCTAGGATTATGATTCTAGATTACAAACAATCATTATGTGATGATTTCAAATATGCCTGCACACGAGACAGCAGATCTCTTCTCCTCCTGGTTTTAGGCTGCCTACTGGCAATTTATCATATTGCAGGTACTCAGCTGTAACACCGGTTTTTGCACTTACCAGGACAGTAGCTATATTATTGGGAAATGCCTTTGCAAGGATTGAAAATGATGCTGTCATTGCTCCTGCAAAACCTACTGCATCCATCGCTCTTACTAAAAAGCACAAACTGATGAATATTGGTCCATTTGGCACCTTGTCCAGCATTCTGGAAAAAAAAAAACAAACAAAAAACACACAAAAAACCCCCACAAACCCAAACAGTAAATGGAGATCTCTCAGCATGCAACAAGTCATCTACTAAAGGCCCTGGAGCATCATTTCTTACTCATTAAAGGACACAGTTACAAGACACTCAATGCTTTCCATTGCCACATCTTTCTGAATCACATTGATGAAGTCATTTAAACTCTACCAAACTATTTCTTGCAGCTTTCTCCTTTTCCCCTTTCTTTGGTGCTGAAAAGAGCACAAAAAACCTAACCTGTGAAAAACTCCAGTGCCATCTTCTGTTGTATTCCATAGCTCTTCCAAGCAATCGTGCAAGGAGTCTGACGAAATGAGTTACAACTATCTAATAAAAGCTTCCTTCATTGTTAATAAAACTTCTATTTTGCTAAAATGAGTGGCTTAGCCTCTCTGTCTACCAGGCAAAGCTTCCCATTTGCTCTCAATATTTTTAAGAAAATAACAACTAAAACATTATGCATAAATAGTTCCCTTATTGCTGTATTTTGACACACTTCTTGCTGTTCATCAACTGTAGTCGTTATTTAAATACATAGAACCTTCTTCCTTTGCTTTCAAAGTAGTAAACAGGCTTTGAAACCTACTGAAGGGGAGAAGTGTTCATTCTGCTTTACAAGGGATAGATAAAAAATAGACACGCAAAAAGTTAGGTGACCCAATCAACACCTGAAAAATGCCCAAGAGTTTCCAGTTTTGTGTCCATCTTTTCATATGGATGAAAATGATTAGAAGACCAATGCAACAAAATGAACCAACAAAAATTACTCACCCAAACAGAATGGTCACACATCCTGAAACAAACATCCCTGCCACAAACATGAATTTTGCTCCAATATGTGTAAGCTGTAAATTAAATACCATTTTTACATGTTATTATTTCAAGCCCAGACCAAAAGTCTTTTAAAGTAAGTTACTGTTAAGTAATCAAAACCTTACGGGCACTTTAGAGCATATGCACTAAAAGATCTGAAGACACTGCTCCTGCCGGTGTGCCTTCATGCAACAGTGACCCTAAAAATATTCTAAACACATAAGTGACTTAACCCAGTTTTCAGAATGGTAAGACAACGGTGCAGTTAACTATTTCACAGCAGGCGCTGCACCTTCTGTAGAGCAGCAGATTACAGCAGCATTCCTCATTATACATTGGGGTTGGACTCTTCTCCCCGGCAACGAGCGACAGGATGAGAGGAAACAGTCTCAAGTTGTGCCAGGGGAGGTTCAGGCTGGATATTAGGAAGAACTTCTTCACTGTAAGAGTTGTTAGGCATTGGAACGGGCTCCCCAGGGAGGTGGGAGTCACCATCCCTGAAGGTGTTCAATAAACGTTTAGATGTGGCACTTCAAGACATGGTTTAGTGGGTTTAGCGGGCATGGCGGCATCAGGTATACGGTTGGACTTGATGATCTTTGAGGTCTCTTCCAACCATAATGATTCTATGATTTCCCTTCCAGCACCATCAGTGATGCTATGTCAGCAACGCCTGTCACATATATGGCTAAGGAGAGTCATTGGAAGCTGATTTTTTGGCAAATTTATCACCACCTTTAATAGCACAAAGCTTTGGCATAGGACGCACAGTAGCTTCAGGCTTCCCTATTCACTACCAGGGAAATGACCCCACCTTCCTTCATTTCAGACTGCATCACCAGGGTGAAAGAATGACAAGAGGCATGCCATAAAGCTGACTCAATCCCATAATAAAGTACATCTGAGCTTCTAAATCCATGCTGTAACTTCCCCTAAGGACAGTAGGTATTTCAGACTCTTTTCTTGTCCAGGCCTGGACAAAGTCCCTGCGTTTCAGCCATTATTACTAAAGCCCATATTTTGCCAAATTTCACTGAAACCTTCAGGATTTCTGGACTGTCCATGTCTATTGGTGCTCACTTTACCTGTCTGCAGCAAGGATGGCATGCTCTCTCTCTCTCTCCCCTATCAAGCACTTGGTGAGGGCTGTGCCATAGCTGAATGCCATCACAGACACCGAGACTGGACTTATCAATGGCATTTGTGGGACACCTTCATGAGCCACCTCACCACCAGAGAAAATCATTCACCACAGGGTCAGCAAAGAGACTGCCCAGGCAGAGAAAGCGAAGACTGTGACACTGCAGCAGCCCCAACCTAGGGTATGATCCTGAACAGCCCTAGCCAAAAATGCATAGACAGCAGTGCTCCAGTATATAAACAAACAAACTGCTACATAATTTATTTGTAATTTCTTCAGCACAAGAAAAATCCTGAATCTGTGGGGAAAATGAAGTTGCAAGAACTGGAGATATTTATCTCATATTGCTGTTAATGAAGTGGAAAGAGAAACCGAGTTGAGCAGCAGGGAGTCATAATAGGAGGAAATGTTAAGAAAAAAACAACATACCAGAAAAGAAGAAGGGGTGCAGCTAACTAAAGGAAAAACCCAAAACAAAACACCTTAAGAATGTCACCAAAGGCAAACAATATATGTATAACAAATAAAATGGAAGGTAGGGGGAAAGGAGGTAATAAAAAGGAGAACTGATCAGCAGATTACACTGAAGCAAACAGAACAGTTAACCAGAGGAGAAAAAAAAACCAGCTACATGTCCACCACCCTATGCCACCCTCAAGAACTGTAGAAGAGTAATTTTTAATGTACTGGCAAGACTTAGATCAGATTCAGACTGACTGGCCAGGCTCCAGTTACTGGAGACACAAGCCTGCAGGAGCATTACTGAAGAGACATCTCTTTTCTCAGCCTTAGAGCACTGTCTTCATGTATGAGCCTGTGCCATCACAGAAGTTACAGTTTCAATTATACTTACATAATTTCCCAAGATTAAAGACGATAAGAAATTGAACAAAGCAAAACATCCAAAAATCAGGCCAATAACAGTGTTACTTGCACCTTTTTTTTCTGCCTGCAAAAAAAGATCACAACTGTGTAAAGATGAAGGCAAATTGTTGAGATGAATAACATTCATGCCTTGTACATTTAATTTTTTTTAATTCTCTATTAGTGCAGTTACAAAGCATTTCCTTTCTCAAAGGCAATAGGGCCACAGAAGGTAACAGCACAACAATTGAAAGACATGTTGCACTTCTATTTAAGCCATATGTAATCAAGGGAAAAGCAATGTTCATTCCTCAATGAATGGAAACACTGTGCTGTTTGCTGAACTACCGAACAGGTGCCCAGACTTTATACAGGTGGCTTTGATCCCTCCCATGGTGACAGGGCAGTGAACAGAGGTATCTGTTAACGTCACTGTATCATGCCTGCCCATAACAAGCACCAAGCCAATTTTTGACTTATCCAACTGGCAAAATACACTTACTTGGGTACAAGCAATACAGAGGAATAGTTAGAGCAATAAAAAAATCTTAACATTTCTTTGTTAACACTTGGGAACAACTTGGTCATTATAGAAATGGACTTCTGCTGCAAAGGCACCATGACCATTTTTTTCATCCTATATTTAAACATTGTATTCACTCAACATAAGCAGAGGTTATTTTTTTTTTTTTTCCCCCTTCAGTTGCTAGGTCAGGAAGTTTAACACAGTGAATGATGGCCCAGCACGGGTTAACGGCGAGGTAGCTATACATGAAAAGTCATTGAGTGGCTGAGGCACTGAAATGCAAGTGAGGACATGGGCAGAGTTTTAATCTCTGCTCTACTACCAAACTACTATGGAACACTGGGCAAAAAACTATTTCACTTCTCCAGGCATCCATTTCAACTGCTATCTGATATCATTAGTTTGCTGTTTCCTCTGCAGCCACAGGGAAGATGAAATTACTCCATGGACAGAATCCAGGTCACCGTGATATACACTCTAATCTATTTTAGCCAGCATCAGGCTACCACTATGAATTCCCACAACTGAAAAGTCCAACTCAGAGCTTACAGCCAGCCATAAAGGTCCCATGGTGTTCAAGAGCCTTTTAAAAGTTTCAACGTGCAAAAAATAATCTAAAGAGTAGCTGGCTAAATTGTTCGTTTACCTCTGAAGGGAAAAAGGGTCCCAGGATTGAATAGCATATCATTGAACTGAAGTTTATAGAAGCTGTTGCGGCTATTGTAAATAGCTGTTCTCTGGTAAGCCTTCTTGATTCCTCAGAAAGTGCTTCTGGCACGCCATCTTCTTAAAATACAAAAGAAAAAGGAAAAAAAAAAAGTATTATGAACTGATAGAGAGAAACACAATTTGCAAATCAAGTTTGAAAATTGAAATCCGCACAAAACCTCTACCCTCCGGGTCTGGGGAATTAAATCAAGCCGTACTACTTTATTTCTTTCCGCACGCCGCACCGCAGACTTCGCCGCAAAGGCAGCG